AATATACAAACTTTGAAAGGGATTTTTAGCTTTGGATAAAACCATCGCATGTGGTTACAGGAAACGTAACCAATCCGACTAAAGTGAAACAAAACAGTGAAATAAAATAAAAAAGGGTTTAATATCCCACGTTTCTGTATTTGACCCAAGTTCTCTAAACACATGAAATATCAGATTATTCAGACTATGTTAAATCTGATAAAAACATAGTTTAATTACAGATATCCGAACCTTGGTTATTATTTGACAAGCATATCGCTTATACATTATTTATACGGATTATATCCAGTTACATCAGTTAAAACTCGTATTATTCAAAGTGTTATTGTATTTAAAAAGTAAACGTAAGGTGCATCCAAACCACACCACAGATAAACAAACCCAAAAGGACAAACATACGAACATGACACACAACAAACAGAAAGTGTAAGTAAGAAACAACAAAATGAAAGGACATGAAATGAAATGGGCTTTAGCGTCCTACTGTTCTGCTCCAACTGGGCTAATGAAGACGGGCAGTGTGCTATGAGGGACATTTTTGCCGGTACGAAGGCGCATCGATCTATTCTTATATCGAATTCCAACTGGCAAGTGTTCATTTACGTATACGCCAATGTGTACACGGGACCTCGGGTTTTCGTACCATCCGAACGGCTATACGTTGTGCCTTGCCAGGATTTCTGTCATATACCAATGGCAAGGGGGTGGGGGGTGGGGGGGTGAATATTCTTGGTTTACGCAGGGATCGAGCACGGGACCTCCAGGTTACAGAGACAAATAAAATCAAATCAAGTGAATCGATCCGAGAGCCGGGGGTAAACTTGATATGCCACGCGTCACTCAAAACAAAAACAAATGGGAGACAATATAAATACATCACTTTTTGTATTTTAGGTTATTTTTTAATCTGTTTTAATTGTCATTTCTTGCTGCATCTACAGAAACAGATGGAGATGGAGGTTTATACATGGTGTAATATTGAACTATTTTAATGAATATATGTTGAAGTAATAATTTTGAATGAATTATTCTAGTAAGGCCAAGATAGATTAATGTAGCATTTGATTAATTTATGGACGTTCGGAAATGAGTTGAATTGGGGTTTAACGTCCTACTTTTCTACGCCAACCGGGATAATGATGGCATACAGTGTGCTGTACGGCAAATATTGCTCGGACATTTTTTTCTCAGTTTAAAACAAACCAGAAATCCAGGAAGTAATTCTAAGGAATAATATTCTTTTAAATACTGAGTAACCTTTCTACATGAGATTCTCTTGTCATCAAAACATCGAGTTAACCCAAGACTCCCTCTCTACGACCTTTCTACATGAGATTCTCTTGTCATTATCAAACCATCGAGTTAACCCAAGACTCTCTCTCTGCGACGGCCCACTGTGCGACCTTTCTACATGAGGTTCCCTTGTCTTTATCAAAACATCGAGTTAACCCAAGACTCCCTCTCTACGACGGCCCACTGAACTCTTCTGGCTTAAAGCTTGTGATTTTGACATCATTGCCATAAAATGATATAAAAACAACATCTTGTCTGACAATGGCGTAAGCGATGTCTCTCCATAAAATACCAATCTAGACATTTATATTCATGAATATAAAAACCGTCTGATTGTAGAATCAGTAACCGGTATAAAATACATGTGATTTACAAGTTAACTAGAAGATTTCGCGTATTTCTCTGTTTCCAACAGTCTTCAAGATATTTTATCACAATAATTACCAACAGCTATTGTGGAATAAATCACTGACAGAAAACTCTAAAAATCGACAGAAAACTCTAGAAATTTGATTATATAATAGTAGAAGTCATCATCATAAAATGGTGTTCTAGAAAGGGTAATCATACTCTACCTAATGTACGATATCTATCACTATAATTAAGTAATACGTGGTATCGGATGTTCTTAGTTTGACGGGGAGCCACGATGGCTCAGTCAGTAAGACGAAGGCATCTCACCTTCGGTCCTACAAAAAGTAATCATACTCTACCTCAAGTACGATATCCATCACTATAACTAAGTAATACGTGGTATCGAATGTTCTTAGCTGGACGGGACGCCACGATAGCTTAGTGAGTAAGACACAGGCTCGCTAGCTTGGAGGTTGTGGGTTCACTTTTCGGTGTTGGCCGAGCAAGTTCATTGGGATTTTCCGGCGTGGGTACTCCTTGTCAGTGGTGCAGCGCGGAGGGCAAAACACGGACAGCTGTCTAGTAGTTCGGATGGGACAAAAATCAGAGGTCCCGTGTACACATTGGCGTGCACGTAAAAGACCTCTTGGAAGTTGGAATTGGATATAAGAGTAGGCCGTAACGCTGCTGCCGGGCAAAAGTTATCGCATCATAGCACACTGTATGGCGTATGCCTGTCTTCATTAGCCCAGTTGGAGCAGAACAGCAGGGCGTTAAACCCCATTTCATTTCTTAGCTGGACGTCGGGTGTTACAGGAAAGGTAAGTTTATCCTGCCTCTTGTACGGCACACATCATTGTGATTAAGTAATATCGGGTGCTCTGATAGAGTGCGTGGATATAGGGTGTTCCAGAAAGAGTAAGTATGTCCTGCCTCTTGTACTATATGCAACAGCGACATAATCGATATCAGAATCTGAAACTACTGGTTAGGAAATTAAAACTTCTTGGACTGATTTGGAATTACAATCTCGACGTCTTTCATTCTCCTAGTACGGACAGAACAGTAGGACGTTAAACCTCATTTCATTTTATTTTATTTATTACTATCTTGAATTTCATCCAGATATAAATTCATCAAGTTCGTGCCATAATGGTTTTTGTTAAATAGAATCAGAGTTTCTAATATTCCATGTGGCATTGGGCCATAAATAAGATCGTATTGGTTAAAGGGACAATAACACTCTTGCTGGCTTGACAGCTCCAGAAAATAAATAATAGCCTTATTCTAAGTACTAGATGTTTAAGAGTCCTACCTGTTGTCTAAATTATCCATTACACCCTATTTTACTTGTCCAGAGGGTTCGAAAATATTTTTAAATCCAAGTCACATTTGAAAAGGTTTACGTTAGGCTTTTCAAATCTTTTAGTTGGAATTTTCTATTTTTTTAAATTAGGTGTGTTAAGATGAAATTTGTATCATCAATTAATTGGAATATTGTAAAATAGTACAATTTGTTGACCAGAATAAAGATTGGGACATATTATTCAGTTACAACAAGAGTGGTATTGAGCCTTTAAGACCACAGATTATACAGGACATTGACCTCTAATTATAACAAAGTCTTAGGTCTGATTGTTGTCAATGTTATATAATTACCTATCAGTTATTTTAGAATTGTAATTACCACACATTCTACAGTAGATATAGCTTGTATGACAACTTTTACTCAACAATATTACCACACAGTAGATATAGCTTGTATGATAACTTTCACTGAACGATATCTCCTAGCTTTACAGCAATTTGATTTATACCCACGAAAGGGTAAGAAAGGGTTGGGTGATAAATAGAGAATCTCCTACTCGTCTTTTTTGATATAAAAAAATATCAACACAAGTTGATAAAGTAACAAAAAAGAAGGCTCTGCCGAGTTTTTTTTACTTTATCGACGAGTGTTGATATTTTTTAATATCAAAAAAGACGAGTAGGAGATTTTATTTATCACCCAATCCTTTCTTACATGCACAAATAAATAAATATAATTCTTTGTTATAGATTTCACTTTTACTGAATCTGATTACATTACGGCGTAGTGATACATCATTTTTTGACAGCAATTCATCCATTGCAAAGTCCTTTATATTGACCCAGTGTTTCCATCAAAGTCAATCAAATAAAAATAATTCATTTTTAATAAACAAGGAGTTACTTTTAATAAAAAATGAACTGTTCTTTGAAAATACAAAAAGGTAGTTCCTTTTTAACTGACCAAACAAATGCATGTAAAGCGATATCTCCTAAGGAGATATCGCAGTAGATTATGATATTTATCACACAAGCGATATCTACTGTAGAATGTTTTATTGGGTGATAAATAAGATCTTCTAATCATCTTTTTTGATATCAAAAAAATATCAACAGCCTCGTTCTTTTGTTACATTATCGACTTGTGTTGATATTTTTTGACTCGTAGGAGATTCTCTTTTCTCAGTTGAGTCAGTTGGGATTCTGAATATTCATTGATACCTATAAGTGTTTGGTAAAATGTTTTAATGGGCCCTATTGAATTCAAGCAGATAGATTATCTACCCTTGATTTCTTAATTAAATGTCAATTAATGAATGTTAGCATGGAATAAAAAGACCAAACATGGAAATTGTCCGGAAAATGAACTTTATTTTTTACATATTAATAACTGTGCCTTACTATTAACCAAATTTTAACTGATTAAATGAGGTATTATTGAGTCTGTTCTACGGTAGGATACAGAGACTAGTTACATCAGCTGTTTTTCTCTTTTTTAATTATTCACACCGGTGAATTATTCAATGAATGCGATAACAATGAATGATAAGGCTTGTTTACCAAATCCTGGTCATGAATAACAACCATAATTTCTGGCTTTCATTACAAGCAGAAGAAAGCACGAACTATTTGCAATTTTATTAGACATTTAATCCGTATGTCAATTGTACGGTAATTTGGTGTGTAGCCCGACCAGATAAAAATCGTCGCAATGAATTGCTTCTCTGTGATTGCATGTTGGTATTTAGCTCGCCATTATTGATCAGCCATGGTGAAATGGGTGAACACGATTGAAGCCTCCAGTGAAGGATATGAACAGTTCACTTTGAGAATTAATCAGATTTAAATTACTATTTAATCGTCGCTCTGTTGCCCCACATCCAGGCAACGTTTACTGGACCAAACAAACACGTAACTGCTAAACGACCGCTGTGATTTTTTTATAGACGAAAATAGAAATTAAAAACAATTTCGTTGCCCTGCAACCTTGGAACAATTCGGCACACTATAGTATTTTAATTTTGTTAATAAGTCAGGTGGCCTACCTAACGTCGTGGGTTTTCTCCGGGTTCTGCGGATTCCCCCCAACTGTGCTCTGAAACGAATATTAACAAAAAAGTTTTGTTGAGTTAGTGCACGAGTTGTTGCGGAAAAGAAGGGCGTTAAACGATTTTCATTTTATTTCTCTCTCGCTCTTGGCAAGTCACGGATTCGATCTCGGGGTCGTCATAGTATAGCATACACCCCCACCCCCCTCTCTCTCTCTCTCGCTCTTGGCAAGTCACGGATTCGATCTCGGGTTCGTCATAGTATAGCTCCCCCCCCTCCCCTCTCTCTGTCTCTGAGATTTATTTTAATAATCTATTCCATCATTCAACGTTATATGATAAATCGATTAACAGAACAGAACACACAACCTCGCATATGACTTCTGTCAATATCACTCTTTGCCCAAATTCTCTGTCTTATCTGCCAATAGCGGAGGCGTTAACGTTCAGTTATTTGGCAGTTATGGTAACGGTCATTCTTGTCGCGGAAAATCAATCATTTTCCCTCGTTTACCTAAGCCCCATATTAGGTCACGTTGAGACCTGCAACCCAACGATAAGATAACACTGACATTAGATACTTTAAAAATTATCCATGGAGAAAGTCGATCTGGAATGAGAGATATTTTAGTATAAAGCGAAGTGTGTGGCTAGTGTGATATATCTATCTGACGTGGAGGACGACACGGGTTCCAGTAATTTGTTTCTGATATTGAGTAACGTATCAACGATAGGTTTACCGTGGATCGTGCCAAGAACATATATATCACACACGTGTTACCTAGAGCAGAACGACCGCATGTCAGATAAGCCGGACAGAGAGAATAGAGATTTATTTTTCATTGATGTTTTCATTGACAATAATACCAAAATGATAGCGTTTGGCTGGAGAATAGTGGATAAGTTAGGTTTGGCTGGAGAATAGTGGATATGGTACTCAGTATACCAGATGAACCGATAGAAGGTTTTTAATGAAAGAAAATGGCGTCTAAATATTACAGTCGTCATATTGACTGCCTGTATCTATCCAATGGTTAATTCTCTCATCATTACTAAATCCATCCCTTCATCTTTTACTAACAGGACATTTTGTTTTATTAAACACCCCTCTCCCCCATCACACTTTATCATTTGACCATCCTAATATTTTTTGTGTTGTTTTTAAACACCACATTCAACCCCTACTTCATCGAATGATATTTTTAAGATTAAAAATCCTTTTTAAATAACTCGTGTTTATGGGAATTTATCGTGCTGGGACGACTGCGAAATTTACCTGAAACGAATCCTGTGTGTCAGGAGCCGCGCAACTTAACTGTAAATGTACTGTGTGCTGTGTGCCGCGCAGTCTCTCAAAACTCTTTCTGACGCGTGGCGCGCAATTTAACTCTAAATGTTACGTGTGCCGCGTTTAGCAAAATCTAACTTTGAAAAAACATCTGTGTGTTGGGCGCCGCATATTTTAACTCTTGAACCTCATTGATGGGGAGCTACGCGATTGAGATGTACTTTTATTATTAAACAGGCATACAACTTGACACAATTAAATAGAATAGCACTTATTTAAAAGTTTATTTCCAGCCATGTTACGACAAGGACCCTCTCGTCTTTATCAATTAATAATAAGGCAATATCTAACTATGACGATTAACATCAAATATTACTAGGAATTTATTTCTTGTTGCAGATTTGGGTTTTTCTCCGGGTCCCCGGGTTTCCTTCCACTGCTAAAGACCCGTACGCGCAAGCGAATTATTGAAATTAAAAATTGAACCATGTGTTAGTCCCGAAATGACCTAGTTTGTGTCGAGTGGACGTTAAACCCCATTTCTCTCTCTCTGCAGATTTTCCCTCGAATTTACCCCCCCCCCCAAAAAAAAAGGAGCACAAACATTATTTATACCCTTTTAATATGTCCTTGATGATGTTTATATTGTTGGGGTTTTACAAGAATTCTGACGTATTTTATCGTATGTCTGTTTATTTTATGATATAGGCGTCACGTGATGTCTGATGAACAGCCTGTATTCATTATCCCTAAATACCGGAAGTGATCATCTGACTAGCCGTCTGCGTTGGCCATCTTCCCGCTAAATACAACATGAAATCAGTGAGGAGTAACGGTTGTAAAGGAAGGGAACTAATGGCGAATCGACAACATATCGGCAAGCAACAGACGAAAACAGACATCAGGTTCAAACCTAACACACAAATCTAATCTGTATATTGGCTCTTTTAAGTAAGACGTTACGCCGCTGACGTCACGATTTCTAAAGTGTCACATACGAGGGCATTGGACCAATAGCCATTGACGTTGTAGCTAGACTATGAAGTGTTTGTGAGCTGTATGAACTGTTCACCCAAGAAAGCCCCCCATTGTTTATGTTCCGATCTTTCTGTTGTAATTCAAACATGTTTTCTGTTAGAGCTCAATTAGATTTCTCCCAGGGCTCAATTTGATTTCTCCCAGAGCCCAATTTAATTTCTCCCAGAGCTCAATTTGATTTCTCCCAGAGCTCAACTTTATTTCTCCCGGAGCTCAATTTGAATTCTTGTTCGGGCACCGGCGTTCCTACCTACTTTTCGTCAGATTCCAACTGTCATTGACCCCATTTTTCGACCCACCGGAACAGCTAGACGCGCTTTCCTTGCCAGTCTACTGACAAAGGGGAAACCAAGCCGGACAATTCCGAGGAACGTTCGCCACCAGGAAAGAACCCAAGACCTCTTAGTTAGTTAAACAGTATTTTAGTCAGGGGTTATTTTAAAATCCTAAGCTAATTTCAGGTTGAGTAAAAATGAGATTAGTTTTAAATTCACCATAATCTATTCTGGTCCTACTTCAATCCCAATTTGATAAATCACTCTGATGAACATTATCGATACCCTACAAGACAAATTCAGGAATGTATATTCTGATAGTTATCAATCATATAACTTCCCCATGGGAAAACCCAGATGCTATCTTTAGGATTGGGTTGCAATTAGTTTTTGTATCTTGGTTGCAGTAAACCTTTCGTATTCTTCAAATTCAATAGCGTGCGAGATTCTAGATGACCCGGAACCGGAAATAAAGCATAAATTATTGATTCAAATGACAGACGAAACGAATAATAAATATGGAGGAACGAGATAGACAATCGTGGAGGCATGCAATGATTATCCTACTTGTAATCACGTGTATCGTACTTGTAATCACGTGTATCGTACTTGTAATCACGAGTATCGTACTTGTAATTACGAGTATCGTACTTGTAATCACGAGTAACCTACGCGTAATTATGAATATACTGCTTGTGATCACGAGTATCCTCCCAGTAATCACTATGGTGATATACCTTTTTATATGAAAGGTAAACGACAATAATGCTATATTAAAGACCCCCCCCCCCTCCCCACTTCCCCAGTGTGCCATTTTAATTTTGAGGACAATATCAAATTCTCCACGGTTAAATTGATTATTTATCATTTTTAATTAAGAAAACAAAATAAAAATAAATACATCAACATAGAAAATATTGCCCCGGATTGTATTCTATTAGATTACAAATCTGTCACCTAAATATTCCAGCGAAGACTTCAGGTGTGGCAGAGGTGCCGATTTTGACAAATTTTCAATTCATCAGATTTTTTAAAATAAAAGAAAACTATAACATATACTTATGGAAAACTATTAATTCATTTATTTTCTCAACTTTTTACTCTATCTAGTTATTAAATACCTTTAAATGATTATTTTTTTGTAAATACTGAAATGACCTGATTCAACATTTACAAAGATGCATTATATAAGCTTTGGATAACGAGGACGGACTGCCGTTCTTGATATATTAATTCCAAAATAGATAGTTCAAAATTCATTCAAATTACTTAATTCTGAGTGACGTTATCAATGTTTGACGTATTGGCATTATAAGACGATCGTATTAAAATCCGTTTCCATCATCTGCGCCATCCGATAATCTACGGAATTTGTTATGTGAATAAATGTCTAAATAATAATTTATATGCCAAATTAGCTGTTATATAATGCATCTTTATATGACGACCAATAGATTTTAATAATAGTTCTAATTTTAAAACGAAACGCCAATACATTGTCTGGGGGTTTCAATTTAAAAACGAAACGCTACAATATAGAAATGCGCCTGAGGGTTTCAATTGTAAAACGAAACTCACAATATGGAAATGCGCCTATCCCACTGAGCGCCGCAGACCCAAAATAACAACTTTGAATTGTTATTTGAATACGATGATAAAAATAGATATTGTTGGGTGGTTTGTTAACATAATGATTATAGAGAATCCAGTATATAATAGAATGAGGTTGTTCTGATTCCCTTACAATAGGTTCAACATTTATCACAACAATATCTCAACATAAAGTCAACAAATACTAAGTAGAAACTCGAATCTATTGTCTCTAGTAAATCTTCCATTGTTTACTTGGCTATAGATTATATACATCGATTTTAAACCCAGACGACATTCAACAAATGTCTTTTTAGTGCCATACAATATTAATAATATCGGCTAAATTACTGCTATGCCTTGATTTGTTTCGAAATTTTATTCTGGAAAATACGTATTTACTACCCGGAGGTCGGGTGGGTGTTCGATCCCTGCATTGGCCGAGAAAGTTCATCCAGATTTTCCGGCGTGATTCCCCCTTGTTAGTGATGCAGGACGGAGGGCCTGACAAGAACAGCTGTCTAGTCGTTCGGAGGGGACGAAAAACCGAGGTCCCGTGTACACATTGGCGTGCACGTAAAAGATCCCTTGACAGTTGGAATTCGATATAAGAGTAGGCGGTAGTGTCGCTGTCCGGGCAAAAATTTCCCCTCATAGTACACTGTATGGCGTATGCCCGTCTTCATTAGCCCAGTTCGGAGCTGAACAGTAGGACGTTAAACACGATTTCATTTCATGCAATTTCATTTCACGTATACTAAGATCAGGGATATTCCTGGAATATCGTCTATAAATGAAACGTACTATTTTGCTGTACCATCCCGGCTAATGAAGACAGGCATACACCATGATTAGT